ATGTTGGAAAAGATGCAAAGACTTTCCGGAAAGGGGGCCTTCAAGGTGCAGAAGCAAGTTAGGCCACACTGCCGTTGAACCCCGACTACGGTTGCTCTTTGGTACATTATCCATAATTGGTACATTTTCCATAACCTTCACCTGGTCCCAGTCGATGTTGAACTGCACACGTACGTTCGCTTTACTAAAAGGATACCCAAAAAAAGTGTTTTCTTAGTGGAGGTATCGAGGGGACGAGTCTACATTTTAGTCCTGAGGATAGCTCAAGTTTTGTGAGTATGGCTTTTGTGTGTCCTCTATGTATACGCTTGTCCAACTCCGGTACCCTAAAATCTCCTAATAATATCGCTTTCGTAGAGGGTGAACTGCAAGAGCAACTTTTTCTGCTGTATTCCGGACTGCAGGCCCAAACAAACCCTTCTGAGAAGAATGATCTTTCTTTTTCAGTAAGTTCATTAAAACTGCATAATGCTTGATAACTTATCTGAAATCACCAAAAATGCAAATAAATTATTATGGAAATATTGAACAGTAAGTATATTTATTAAGAGAACAGGAGTATCGCAACTCTTGCACGCGTTTCTCAAAAAAAATCGTATTTCTCATTTATTGGGTTGGAGCATAATATCGTAGCGTTTTTCTTTCGAGCTACGAATTCAGTGAATACAAGTATTACCCAGGAAATCACATATATCATTTGAAAGTACTTCTTCTGCTCTACAATACCTTGTTTGGCATTTTCTTCTATACTGTAAGTGTACTCAGATATGGCGCTTAGAAGTTGGAGAATCAAGGTGGGCGAAAATCTATATAGAGAAAAAAGCTGCCAAAATAGGAGTTTTTCGGAATCCATCGTCATCATCGAACCTTACTCCAGTCGACCCTTAATTTAACCCTTTCGGCCCTGGCGGTGGCAATTGCCACCACCAAATTCAAACGCTTGCATTGCCGCTGAAACAGCATGGTTTTTCTAATCCTGCTAGAGGTTGCTTCAGTCAACCTTCCCCTTCCTAATTATGAGCTAAACCTGCCATTTCATTGTGTGTTGCTGTTAGTATTACAAGTATTTGTGTACAAGTGCAACAATGAATCGGCGCTGGACCCCGCAACCGGCCAAGTAAGTGTCACTTTTTCTTAAAATACTTGAAGTAGATCCATTCCTAAATCAAAATTATGGGTTATAATGTTATGCAAGATTATAAACTTTTTCGGCATAACTATGAAATTTCGAATTGTTTCGACATAAGCTTAAAAACTAAGAAGGTGGGCCAATTTTCAAAGCTTCCTAGTTTCTTTGTTTGTGATCGAATAGCTTCCAAATTTCGCCATAATGATACCTATATGCTCACAAGTAATAAACAATAGCTAGAAGAAAAATTTCTCCACGGAAAAATTCAGGTCCGAAAGGGTTAAAACATATCACGTCGTACAAATTAAGAATAATGAGGATTCTAAAACGGGCTCAGTACCCTTTTTTGATTTCTAAACCCGGTAATTTCTTGCGAAATGGAACCAAAGTCGTAAATAATGACGAGAAGAACATCACTGATCAGTTTTATGCTTGGCTTTGCTTTTGGGTTTTGCTTTAAACGTTTTTGCCGAATGCGAGCGCTACGATATTATGCTCCGACCAATGAGCCATTCTGGGGAATCAAGCCACACCTCGTGTTGTTTTTGTATATAATCTGGGAATATGAAAAAGTTCCGTTGCTCATTAACTGTACTGAATAAAAAATAAAAAAAGGTTCCCAAACTTGGCTGCTCCTGCTGCTAAATGTGCAGTGCTTATCTAATAGATGAGCACGATCGCGCTGCACGCTGCCGCGGGTGTAAACAGACCACAGGAGCACGCACTCGCCAACCAAAAAAAGGTGCGGTACGCAACTTTCTAACTTCATATTGGGACAAAAAAAATTTAAAAGATACTACAATAATGAGCTGCAAATTTCTGGAAGCACGGCCTTTATCACGATTATTAGTCATCCAGCGCTAACGTTGCCGTTAGCTGTGATGATCAATCACAGGACATACACCTGAGTAAATTGGCCACGTGTCTTTTTTTTCTGCCCTAGGGCTCGTCTTGCTGAAAGTACATCCGCTCGAGCTTTTGTGTGCAAGATGTGCGTTCGTGCACATACAGTACACTCAGAAGTTTTGGTAAAATTCTTTTTCACTGGCAACTTTTTCTGCCGCATCAAATCATTTCAAACTTCAAAATGTTTTGGAACCAGGCCTTCTCCACTGAACATTATTTTGAAAACTTGTTATCCAACAAAACAATGGACTGTACGACAACGAGGTTTCCTTCCATTTTCCTAGCTGTTTCTTCTGCATAAGAATCCACCAACCCTTTCCATAGTGTCTCGATCGCGCTTAAGATATTCGCTGATGTTGCCCCTTCTTCAAAGGCACGCCATGCTGTCGAGAGCGTTCTTTAACAGTTGAAATGGGATGCCTCATACCGCCCTTTCGCTAGAGGCGAAGTCAGTTTGGTGCGGCGTGACACGTGTAGTACCTAACTCCTTACAGAACCCACTTATATACCACAGCATTCACCACTTAAAAGCGCTTTAGCTCCACGTCTTTTAGGGACTACTATAAATAAGCTTCTGCCTGTTTACGGATGCCAATCAATACTTCGGATCAAAACGTTTTCCGTAAGGTCGTTTTCTGATTCACATGCGTGTTGTCGTCGCCGCCAAAGATCCGAAAATCACTCTAGCCGCTCCAGACCAATCGCGGATCTCCAGCCCAGGTGTGCGCAGATTCATTTCATTTCCGATCATTTCGTAGACGGACAACTTCACAAAATTCGAGAAGTGTGAATACATATGCATGCAGAAAGTTTCCAAAGGTGTTGTGTCCATGAACGTGAGTGTGCACTGAACTGACTCCATCTAGCCCTAAAGTAAAGCATCGAACGTAAACTGCGCAAGAGCGCTCCCGAAAGCTTTAAAGGGAAAGGGAGGAAAACTTCAGCAGCATACCTGAGCGTTATAGAGACACTATATGTAGGGAAAGGTGAAGGAATCCTCTTCAGAAAATAGAGTTGAAAATGGACGAGAAGCTCGTCAGATTTGAAGAAAAATGGTGGGGAAAAACAGTGAGTTCATTTACTGGTTCCATACTCAGGCTCTGTTAATATTTCAGCCACTCTAGAAGTTTAGCAATAAAGTATTGTCTCTGTGTTGTAATTATGTCATTTATCATGCACTCTTTGTGGCATTGGATGGCAAGTTTTCTACAATAATTTGAAGTTTATCTAAAATTTGGTCATACTTGGAAACTTGAGGCAAAGTCACTTCCTCGTTCTTCACTATTTCTCCCACTCAACATGAATACACTGGTTTAGTAAAGAAGGCTTTTCTCCAGAACATACTAGAGTTTGAAATAATTGGATACAGCGGCAAAAAAGTCACGAAAAAGAGTTACAGTGAAGACTTTTGAGCACTTCTGTAGGTGGCGCGGCGCCAAGGGAGAAGCATATGCACAAAGCGCGGTACAGACTTAGCAAATCCGGCATTCGCTTCGCAATATTGGACACTGAACTGACAATGCATCCGGAAACTTCCCACTAGTTGCAGTATTTCTTCGCAGGGACGTTGAGTTTCATCTACTCATAAAGACCAGTAGCTCTTCAGCTGAAATGGGCAACTCAACTCTCAACCTGGGCCTTATGATTCCTTCCAGTTGTTCTATCGGGCAGCAAGTAGTAGTCTGAGCGGTTTCCATTGGAATGCTGCTTCAAATTTCCGCGTGCTATCGAAGTTCATAGCAAATTCTCATTTTTTTCTTTTTTCATCACCCTGCAGTTATAATAGTCAGTGAATTGTACTATAGGTTTCGGAGCATTTCTCACAATATGAATGTTTATCAATATGAATGTTTATTGGAGTAGAAGGAGCAAGAAGTCGGGAATACAAGCGACAGTACGAGTGCATAAGCACAACTCTATGTACAGTGCAATAAACTGCAACTGAAAAGTTCATGACTCTATTTGGGAAAGCTTTAAAAAACCTTGAAATTTTCGTTACATAAGGAAGAGAACAAAACTTGGTGCATCAAGGATTTTTACATAACTTTTTACATTCTACTGATGCTGCCAGAGGTTGATATTCTACAAATTAATGGGATATTTCAGTAATGTTCGAACTACACTGCACTGGCGTGCAAGATACCAACTGAAATGGGGAAATGATTCTTTTTTCCCCATACTGATCACCGAAAGACTCTCCTTTGTCAACGGCAAAGTTCATATGTACAATATAAATACAGGGACAAAAATGGGTCACACCATTATCCTTATCACACTATTGCAACTATATTGAGTCCTCTAGAAATTCTTCAGATTTCACTGCGCGATGACGGTTCTTCTACTCATTCCACTTGCGGTTGTATCTGCGTGCCGTAACTTCTTTGAGTCTGAACAGTCTGAGATGGTCGACAGCCTCAAGGCCAACATGAAAGAAAAAACGTTCAGCAGAGTGGATGAGCTCGCGAGCCGCATTAAGCAGGTAATGGCCTTGTGTAAGTATTAGATGACGATCTCTCATGGGAATTACTGACAGGATGTTGAGAACATACCCAAACTTGAAGAAACGTTGAACAAAATCAGGAAAACGTTACCTAAGGAGTCGGTTTTGAGTGGAGAACAAAAAGTATTTTTAGAAAAACAAAAGGTTAGTGGATTCCACCAACGAATTGAATTGAATCGTAGACACTAGGAGTACCGAAAAGTTTTCAGTCCTTTGGAAGGAGGTTCAATGGCAAAGGGCGACGAAGGAAAGATCCAATTGAGCGAATCAATGCGAAAAATGGAATAATTGACTCGCTATTCCAGGGAGATATGCTCCTTTCAAAGTTAGTTCTCGTTCCCTTGGTATATTGACCTCAAAATTTAATACTTTGTTAAGAGGACAACAGGACTATATTGTTTCGGATGATAATCCTAATCGCTCCAAACGGCAAGCTTACAACAGTCTAACCTTTCCTGAAAGAAGATGGCCCTCATAACGTTTACCTTACTCATTACGAACGGCAACCTAGGTGTTAAAGTCATATAAGACGTTCCTATGCTCTAAACAAACCAAAAGACAAATTAGCTGCTCTAACCGTGCTCAGATAACAAAACCAGAGAGGTCTTCCGAAAGGCAGTTGAGTTATGGAAGAACAGCACGTGTATCAACTTCGAAGAAGATGAAGAGGAAGTAGGTGAGATGAAATAATTCATATTGGGCGACAACATTTTTGTACGGATGAAAGTGTTCCAGCTGAGGACCTTCTTCTTGTGTACAAGGAACATGGATGTTGGGCAGAAGTTGGCAGACAGGTCGGATTGCAGTTGATCTCACTCGGCGAAGGCTGTGACACGGTACCGGTTAAAGGACGTTCAGCGAGAGGCAATGACGTTTATACGACTGGATATTAGCATCAGAACATCGATAATCTCTAAATTTGTCACAGATCACCAATCGAGAACTCATTATTCACTTACATTTAAACTTTTCGGCAGATTGGAATCGGCAGCGCACGAGCTTGGCCACGCCCTTGGGTTCTGGCACACGCATTCTAGACATGACCGTGACCAATTCATCACAGTTCTTGAAGAAAATGTTCAGGTAAGGCTTGCAATTTTTGAACAATTGAAATGTTATGGCAGACTTTAGCTTGGGCGGCGTAATCAATTCCTAGCGAAGACGACAGAAGCCAATATACCAACCTAAACGGCATGTACCAATATTGACTACTGGCAGCCTTGATGCTGATATTTACGTCACAAAAGCCGAGAAGACATTTGTAATGGAAAGTCCAGAAGTGCCGAATAGGTATTGCGAACAAAACTCTATTAACCAGACCATCGATTTATTAAATATGAAACAGACGAAAAGTATCATGGTGAGTAAAGCTCATCTATAAATTACGACAAAAAGTAACATTAATGAAACGACCGGAGAGCGCCCTAAGGATCTAAATCAATTTCAGTTCTCCGATCTCGCTTATGATGAACTATGTTCTACAATTGCATACCGGTACAGATACATTCACTTATTATATATTCACAGCCCTAGTTGCTCTAGAAGAGGGTGCCTCAGACTTATGCGAACATGCGTCTAATGTGGACAGGTGCGAGAATGGTGGAATCGCCCATCCACGCAACTGCAACGAATGCATTTGTCCTAAGCGGATATGGTGGCGTTCTGGCGTATGAAAGATGGTAGCGATACTTTATTGAACTCGAATCTTGCAAACCCCTTTAACAAGCATGTTTAGCCACCAGGTTGCGGCGCAGTGTTGAATGCATCCATGGATTGGGAAACCCTTGAAAGACCTTCGGTCCATAGAACCGAGCCTGGACGCAGACGGTTTTACTAGTGTGTGATACCCCCCACTCGAAGGGATTGATCCAACTCCTTGTCGGTATCATGTGTCAGTGGGACTTCCAAGACCACCAATTTCTACCTAACGCGTCAGACCTCCCCTCCCCGTGATATTGCTTTTAAGAAACATGACGTTTTCAGGCGCCAAAGGAGCTAGAGAAGGTGGAAGTGATAGAATTGCTGGAAGTACCTCTTGTACTGCATTTACTACGCAGGTTGCACATATAATGTCCATCTGGTGTTGAAATTAAGCCCACATTCGGAGCCGCAACGTCGCACATTCGCTGGTTACAGTGTGTGGTCAAGGATCATCCCTTTGTTGATTTATTTCCGCTCGTTATTTGCTCGAATTAGTTTCAGTATATTCCATTAATGTCGACCATTCACTCGACCAAGATCAGCCAAATACACTAGATTCAAAAACATTTATCTCAACAGTTTTGCCGGTTAATTGCTCTATGAGATTCATCAACACGACACTAGTGTCGAATTCAAACTTGGTCCCTGTAATAACATATATTAACGATATAAGGGAGCGTATCGCTGTAGCCGAGGAACAGGATGATTACGACGATTACGATGAGTCCGACGAAAGTGAAGAAAGCGAAAGAAAATGTAACGAATAAGTGAAGAGAGAAGGGCGAAAAATGAGGCGTAAACAAGGAGCTACCCAGGAGCCGCTAAGTACTGAATGTAACCAACAAATATTTCAGTTCACGATTATTAAATGGAGAATGGATCTTTTTGGTAATTTAAAACGACTTTTAGAACCGGGTTCTTCTGGAGCTAGAACGAAATACAAAAGCCAGAAGCCACTTTGAACTGCGGAAAAACGTAAGATTGATAGCATGCGTTCCATCAAAACCATGCGCACTGTGCGTACCCCAAAAATTATCCTCATGAAGTTTATTCCCACATTTCAATGTGGATCCTTGATCTAATCAGTGAAGTGTAAAATTGGACGCGCACAAGAATTGACACCCCAACACATCACTTCAATGCAGATTTTGATTAGCGAATCGAGAAGCTTAGAAGAGAATTGTTAATATGAAACTGTTTAATTGCTGTAATACACACACTTTATCGAATCCATCTAATCAAAATTTTTCGAGTGCCATGTAATTTTAGAAATTTCAAATGCAAGAATCAAGTGATGTTCTACATTAAGTAAAAAAAAAAACACACCACCACCACACAAAAAAAATGTTGCATGTTACGATAAGCCAAGAAAGCTGATTCTGAAAAGCGTGCAGATTTATAAAGGTTTATACTGGAAACTAAGCCTCTATACTTGCCAGCTTTAGCCAACACCAGCAAATGTGACGGAGCTAGAGGGGGAGATAAAAAGAAATGTAATACTAATCTGTCTGGCACCTTCTTATAAGAGAGGGGATCTACGTTGTCATAGTCGCGTTAAATTATCACATTACCTAAATAACGTTGAAGTAATAATCCACTCAAAACAGCGCGTGACTGAGATAGTGTGAAAGCACAGAGCTTCCACTATGACTAATCTTCGACCGCACGACGTAGAATCACATGAAAAACTATCGCTTTTTTGAAATCACAAGCGGATTGACTCAGCGGCACATGATCTTAAGAGTATGACAAGGAAGCGACGCAAGCGAGTCATCGAACCACGCACATCCGAGAAAGACTAAAAATCTACATTCCGCGTAGCCGTATGCCAATTCGAGGATGATAGGTAAAGAGGGAGTTCGCATGGAATGAAGGAAATAATGCTCGACTACATTTCCAAATTAAATTCCGAGAACATCGCGCTTCAAGAACTGCAGCACCACTCCATTTCAGGAAGATAGTCGCTAGGAAACGGTACGATATTATTAGAGCTGCAAGTGAAATCTCCCTCCACTGGGGTATAGACTGATTAGTAAAAATCACTTGCGAGGGCAGAGAACGTAATTGAAGATAGATCTACAAACTTCAAGAAGGTGTGATGAAATAGGTTTTGTCAGATAGAGAGATGAATACAGCAAATAAAATGAACATACCGAATAAACGAAAAGATAAAAAAAAACGAAACAAAAAATGCTGATAATTTTAGACTAACTATACTTAAAATCTACGTTAACAATTAACACATTGACAAGACACGCGAGTTTTGTGGAATCGTTTTTGCCACGTGGCGACCGATGCGCCGAATTTTGCAGCGGGCCGCTAGCGCCTCGCCTCAGGTCGTTCAAGCAGATTTTGAGTGATAAATACACAACTAATGATAAATTTGAAACCAAGTCAGTAAATTGTAATGAGCGCAACCTAACCAGGGGTAGCAGTAGTGGAATTTCGATCGAAAGACATGGAGTAACAAATGAAAAGCGAAATTTAGTCAGAACTAGCTGCCAATGGAATTCAAAAGCAACCTCAATAAAAGCCAGTTGTACCGCTGATTATCCAAATCGAAACACACATAATTGTACATCACCTCAAAGGTTAATGATAATCTACTTCTACTACTATTTAAATCTTCACATTAATAAAAAGAAAAAGTAAACGAAAAATTTATTGAAATGAAGATTTCGTATGGTTTAGAAATCCTCCTCTAAATTAAAGTATACGTGACCATTCTAAGGGCCACTATGTTTGTAGCTACGTCAAGGTCTCTTCCATGGAATGAATACAAGAAACTTCTAAAAGAATCAGGCGTGCGCGAAAAAAATGAGTGTAATGGGTGCGGGGGATATATATCCCGCACGGTCCGACATGGCCTGCAATGGTATAACATACTTTGTTACTGTTGAAGACATAGAAAGACGTTCAAGAAAAAACAACCGGACACTGAAGCAATGCAATTTTTCTCCAAAATGTAGACGAGGTGCCATTCGGCGTCAAATTGATGCTAAGCGCCATTTTCGAGCGCGTTGGCATACGAGTTTAGCTTTATTAGAGGCCGAAACAGACCGCGAAAAACGCACGGCGCTATAAAGTGCAAGTTGGGAAACAAACACAGTAGGACGGATAAGTGCGAGGTCACAATAATCGTTGGGCAACATAAACCGTCCTAAGTTAAGACAAGTGTGATTCAAATAGTGAAAGGATACGTGACATGAACATAGGGCGGTGTCTCCAACTTGAGATGTAACCAGTGTGTTTGCTAATTCATAATTGACAAATGTGCCGCTAAGAAGCGCAGGCAAATACGACCAAGAGCGAAGCCACGGATTTTTTCACAACAGACCGGGGGATCGCCCACTATGGAAACACAGCAGAAGAATTTCAGAAATTCGAAATCGGCCATTAGAGAATCGATAATATTCTCCAAGTGGGATCAATGTGCTAATCCATGATCCAGTTTGGGGCAGTTCGTCATATTATTTCATACGCAATGCCGGTGCTTGTGAACCTTGTGAGCTGATGAATCACGGTACAACTTCATTCAAATTTCGTTCATGAGCAGCTTCCAATTTAATAGTCTTAAATGGAGTTCTTGGAAGAAAAGATTTGCTACAGACACCAATTCGATTTGTGAGTAAATGAGATATCCAAAAACATGTTCTGTGGACCATCCCCAATTTTTGGGCACAATTTCGCGTAACAGGTGCAGCTAGACTGCAAGTCTCGTGGGCAAACATCGCAAAGGTTCAACATCTGTGATGCGCCATTTGAAACCTCATTTCATCCACCCGCTCTTCTTTTGCAGAGTGAGCAATTTGAGCGCGTCCTCAACTATTGGGTTGTCATAATTCCTGTCTCAATTTCGACACTTTTGTTTATTCAAGTTTTATCTCTTCTAGGAAACAACTGATCAATAGCATAACCACCATCATGGTCACTGATATGCGTGCATTTGCTAGGAGCGTTTGGAAGCTTTCCGCCCAGAATGAAGGAAGCTGGGGGTTGAAGAATTTGGAGAAGTCGTTTTTGGGGTGGTCGCAATCTTTAACTTTCTTCTCTGGCAGATGCTTATTCAGGGCGCAGGGGAGGCGATAGTCCGATAGAGCGATGCCAATGCTATATGGTGGATGAGGTATCGTGGCCCTGGCTATCTCCCTCAGAACGTGGTGAGTTGGCATTGCAATGTGAGGTCTGGCGT